CAAGGAGGTACTGTCTCATCCTCTGTAATAAGAGTGTCGTCATGATCCTCGTTTGCCTCCTCCCTTTCATTAGTCTTCCTTCAACATTCCGCTTCAAGAGACGCGTGTTGAAAAGTGTCAATTGGGGATACAACTTCCCCGTTAAAGAGTTTGTCCCTCCTCACATTCCAAATGTACCAACAGATCCATGGGAAGGTGTAAAATTGTGGTTAGAGCCACCTTTTTTCTCTCAAAAAACACAAAGTTCATGTTTTGGTATATAGATGTACTCGGAAAGTAACCCGGAAGGGACGGCGATAAATCCCAAACCTGCAAAGTTGGGAGGCATTCCAAAAAAAGATGATTAATCGACTCCACTGGGCCAGCACATCTAGGACAACTCATATCGGTGTCCATGTGTCTATACGTGAGCCTCTCTGCTGCCGCCACACAGCCCGAGATAGCCTGCCACAAAAATGCTTCATCTTACTTGGGACCTTTATCTTCCACACATGGCTCTGAAGGGTCATAATACTCGGTTCTAAAACTTCTTCCTGTGAAAAATTCAGCTTCGTCTATTGGACTAAGTCATAACCGGTTTTAACCAAACACACACCTGATTTTGTGTGGTTCCAAACGTATCCTTCTAGAGCATGTGACCGAGAAAATTTTATCCCAAGTATCAAAGAGATATCTTTTGGGTGAAAAATTCCCGTAAAAGCTGTATATCGCACTCCTTGGTATCATTCCTATTAAAATACTGAACAAGAAGTTGGGGTAATCTGTAAATAATGTGATCTGCAGGTTTAGGTGGTCGAGCTACTGAGTCTGGGACCTAAGATTCAATCCATACCCTCGTATCTCAACCTGTACCAATTTCTTTGCATTAACCCGATAGGAGAAGAGATTTTGCTGCCATGATACTACGCCATCCATATGATGGTGACTATATTCATCGTTCATCTAAAGGAGAGGCGTGTCTGTAGTACCTTCTCTTTAAGACACGTGCTAGCAGGGAATTAGGGTAATGGATTAATCTCCACAACTGTTTTGCAAGAAGTGCTATATTGAATTCATGTTGATCTCGAAAACCTAGTTCCCCCGAATCTTTAGGGTTACAGATCTCGTCCCATGCTATCCAATGTAAACCTCTGCTGTTCTGTTTTGAGCTCCACCAAAAATTATAAGTTGTGCTCCTTAGTTTATCGGTAATGCCTTGTGGAATCAAGTAACACGACATTGGAAAGGTCGGAACTGCTTAAGCTACAGATTTAACTTGAACTTCTTTTCTTCCTTTGGAGAGGAGTCTTGATGACCAAGTGTTAACTCGCCCAGTGAGCCGATCTTGTATATATGAAAACACTTTCATCTTCGAACCACCGATTTGTTATGATAATCCAAGGTACATACGCATGCCTCCTTCAGAATAAAAGCCCATGACCTCTTTTATATCATTCTTCAAAGAATACTCCACTCGATTTCCAAAAAACATCAAAGTTTTTGACGCATTTAATCTTTGTCCTGGCGCTTTTCCATATGTGTTAAGAATGTCTATGATCTCCTTGCATTGCCTTAAATCTGCCTTACAGAAGAAAAGACGGTCATCTGCGAAGAGGAGATGAGATATCCTTGGGCTCGCTTGCACAACACGGAGACCGACAATTTTCTTCTCTGCTTATGCTCCATTTAAAAGCGAGGTCAAAACTTCTGTACACAAGATAAATAAAAATGGAGAAAGGGGTCTCCTTTTCAAATCTCTACTTGGAAAGATCCGCCCTCTTGGTTGCCCATTGGCTACAACTTGATATGAGACCGACGTGAAACAACACATAATGAGGTCAAACAGTCTTTCATCAAAGCCCATCTTCACCATCAAAGCTGCTAGGAACCTCCGTTCCACTCTATCTTAAGCTTTGTTCATGTCTGTTTTAATATCCATAAATTTTTTCCTACACCTCTGGTTTGTCCGTAGGACATGAAATTCTCTTGTGCTATCATGATGCTATTAGTAATCAAACGTTTTACCACAAAGGAAGGTTGTGTCTCTGAGATCAAGGGTGGAATAACCCTCTTAAGTCTCTTGCATAAGAGCTTCGATATAATCTTGTAGCTAACATTGCAGAGACTAATAGGTCTGAACTCAGTCATGTCTCGGGGTTTCTTCTTTTTAAGTATGAGGCAAATATTCGTCTGGTTGAGAAGTGGGTCGAAACTGCATGTCGATAAGAAATCTTGTACGAGTCTAATAATGTCTTGACGTATCTCACGCCAGAATTTCTTAAATAATTTGCTAGTCATGCCATCCGGTCCCGGTGCTTTGTATGGGTTAATCTCAAATAAGGCTCTTCTAATTTCTTGTCCCGATTGTTTCTCTAAAAATAACATATTGTCGGCAGTGGACACCTTCTCTGAGATAAAATGGAGGGAGTCGTCTATTTCGGTCGGCACAGAGGTAGAGAAGAGATCACGAAAGTATATTGAACAGCCACGTTCTCTACCTCGATTTCACTCTCTACCAACTTCCCATGCTTGTCTTTAATATTGATTATTCGATTTCGGGTCCTTTGTTGTTTTGTAATTGTATGATGAAATTTTCTATTTCTATCCCCATATTTATGCCACTAATCTCTACTTTTTTGTTCTCAAAAAATGTTTTTTTCTCTAAATATCGATAATGTCGATATTAACTGTTTTCGTAACTCCTTCAGCTCTTCCATCGTAGAATTATCATCATCTTGATCCAAGTCTATCTTATCTTTTAGTTCTTTAATCAATGTAGCGAAACTTGTTAAATTTCGTTTCCTCCAAAAGTATATCTATTTCGACATAAGATAACTTTATTAAAATATACTAATATTTTTTTATTTAGATATTCATGCAAGAATCTAAACCAATAGGGGTACTCTAACTTTCTCAAATAGTTTATAGTTTATATACAGCAATATTGACTCAGAAGAGTTGCTATGTGGCCTCATAGCCTACTAACAAAGAGATCTGACACTGACAAAATTTTAAGAGAAAGATACCAAAACAAAGTTGAACAGTTTCAGACTTGACGTTTATCATTTCATAATGCATGTATTCCCACGTGCTTATATCTAACCGTCCAAATAGTATTTCTTTCAATTAACTAATAACATAAAGTCTTGACAAAAATAAATAAATAAATAAATAAATAACAAATAACATCAATACAATTAAAAGAGGATCATTCCCTTTAATTAAATATTCACGTTCTCCAAAATTATCTTTAATATTATGAATAAATTAAAATTTTTATTAATGTTATTATTGTCTTTTGTTTTAGGACCTCAAAACTGTATAATTAAGAACAATCAATATATATTTAATAGATTTGATTAATGGGTCAATATCTTATTCAGTTTTTTATTTATAATTTTATCAATCAAAAATAAAATCATTTTGTTATTCAAATCAATCAAAATCAATAATAAAATTATTTTCGTGATAAAAATCTGAAAATTATAATATAAATAAAATAAATATTTATTAAAAATACCAGAATGGAAAATAAATATGACCATATAAATCATTAATGATTTCAAATGTATGCATAAAACATTTTTAATCTATACTATTAAATTTTCACTCATCCCAATAAATTTATTATAGTAACTTAGAAATAATAAAAGGCAAGAAATCATTATTAAGAATATGCTATTATTCTCACATATTTGTCTTCCCAAATTAAAAATAATGCAGATTTTTAATAATAAAACATTTGCCTCAAACTGTTTTCTTTTAAAAAAAAATTAGAATATGAACTATTAATAAAAATTTAAAAATAAATGAGTAATAATTTGTTCTATATTTATGTAGTTTGATAGTTAATATACTTACAAATAAATTTAATAACATTTTTTTAATAGTATAGATATCTGATCTTAATCTTCGAATAGATTTCGACAACTTACAAATAACAAAAATTTGTAATCAAAACCACGGGGTGGTGGGCTAGTGGTCTTGAGGCGGTTTCAACGCCAATAAGGACCCGGGTTCGAATAGCCCCTGTGGCCACGGAATGCCTTACGCCCTCCCCAAGTTGAGTTAAGCGTCGCGTTGGTGCTATCGCGTCCCTTGGGTAATGGGTATGGGTGCCGGCTGGTTCCGGGCCAGGGGGATTAGTTGGTTGAGTTAAGCGAGGCGTTGGTGCCATCACGTACGTCTTCGAACCTCCTGTTAAAAAAAAAAAAAAAATTGTAATCAAATGTTATGTACAAAAACATTTATTCTTATCCAAATCAAATATTTATTAATATATGAACAAATATATCAATAAGTCTCACTCGGATATGAAAATTCAATAAAAACCTTGTACCAAACTGAAATAATAATAATAGAACAGTTCTTAAATATTATAGATATATAATAATTGTTATAAATTTATTTAATATTTGGCTTTACGGTCAACAAAAAAATATACACACTTTTTGAAATTTCCTTCATATCCACATAATTGAAAGTTGATTTTGATAATATAATATTTTATATCATCAAAGCAAAAGTTTTGTTTATCAATTTGTAGATAAAACAACAAAAATAGTTTTCGCGTTTTTTAAGTGCGGATTAAAAATCTAGTAAAGTCGCTTAAAAGCACTGTATTAAATCATAACGATAAGTTTAAGTGGAACCAGGCAAGAAGAATAAGTTTAGCAAATAATGAAGGAGAGGCTCAGTTAAACTTTCTTGAAGTCATAAAAAGACTTCAAAACTGAAACAAAATAACATTGTTTTTAAGATCTTTCACATCACACCTTAAAGAAGTCATAAAATAAGTATATATATTACAACATTATTCGTCTAGCTTTTTTTTCGTTTACTAGCTTTGCCTTAGTGGAATCATAAACAACCCCACGTCTCAAACTAGAACCGGTGCGATCGGTTCTAACCGGTTAACTAACAATTAAACGGTTTCGCCAGAGATGAAATTTCTGTACCGATGAATGGCTATATATGCACACGAACAGACAAAGATAACATCACTTACCAAACAATATCAAATGGAAACACAGCACATGCAACACCACCACCATCACCATTTCGTGCTTGTCCATGGATCATGTCATGGAGCATGGTGCTGGTTCAAGCTGGCGGCAAAGCTCAAGGCCGACGGTCACCGAGTGACAGCTATTGAACTTGGTGGGTCCGGGATCGACACGAGGCGGCTCGACGAGATTCGTTCTGTCTCGCCTTTGATGAGTTTCATGGGCTCTCTTCCTAAAGAAGAGAAAGTGGTTCTTGTTGGCCATAGTTATGGTGGTATTGGGACATCTCTGGCCATGGAAAGGTTTCCGACCAAAATCTCTGTCGGAATCTTCATCTCCGCATACATGCCACACCATGAGTCTCCTCCTTCCGTTCTCATTCAAGAGGTCGCCAGAAAAAAACAATCTCATACCTCAAGAAAATAAAATAAAGTTTTTGGGACCACTCTTCAGGATATATTTTATCTGATAATTGCATGTCGCTTTCTGTTTGTCTTGCAGTATTTCAAACGACTTCCTGATGGATTCGCCATGGATTGTGAGTTTACATTCGAGGAAGGACCAGAACAGCCGCCAACTTCAGTTATGTTCGGTAATAATTTCTTGAAGAAGGCATATACTAATTGCCAGCCAGAGGTCAGTATTACACAATGTTCACGCCTAGACACCGTTTACACCGCTTTTTAAAAGTATCATTTATAGAACTCATTTTGTTCATGGCCGATATGTTTTTTGAATACTGGGTTTGCATCCACTTATGGCATATTCAGTTTTACAAACCGAGACCAGGTGACCACTGTTGGTAATATACTAATATATTTGATTGTCAGGATATAGAACTAGCCATGGCGTTGGTGAAACCGAGCTGGTTATACCCAAAGGAAATGGAAAGTAAAGATATGCTGACGAAGGAGAACTATGGATCTAGGAAAAGAGTGTTTATAGTCTGTGAAGGCGACAATGTGGTTCCAGAGGAGATTCAGAAGTGGATGATTAGTAACTACAAACCCAATGAAGTGAAAGTGGTTGAAAAAGCTGGTCACATGGCTATGATCACTAAGCCTCAACAGCTTTCTCAACTGCTACAGGAAATAGCAGCGAAATACAACTGATAAAATGTAACAATTTATTGAGTTTGAGTATCCTGAAATTAAAGCTTGCCATCTGGAGTTTTGTATGAATCACGATATGATTCGTTATATTAAATGATATGAATAAATAGGGTGAGTGATTCTAAATATTCTGTATTACATTGCTTGCTGTATTTGGATGGGGCAGTTTCACATTGGTTTAAACAGTATCTTATACCTTTCGGATTTGGATTGTGGAGGCAATAACATAATTTTCCCTGATTTAGAAGCTCATGCACCAGCCAAGAAGGTAGGATTTCTCTACAGACACATAACTCGTGTTAGCTCTCACTTGTGTCAGAACACAAGAAAATTCGATTAGAGATTCTCTGAACATACATACATTCTACATGTGAGCCAGTTAAGTTTGAAAAATCTGATCCGGAAACGAGAGACTTGTTTAGTGTTGGCATCTGATCCTTCTGTATCAGAGAATCTCAACTGAGAGGTGAGGATAAATACTTATGTAGCAGCTAACGTTGTTGATTCTGACTTCCTGATTAATCTCCCAGCTGGGTGGACATGTCTTTCTTGATAACAAAGGGAAGTTTCTTGGGGAACTGATTTACCTTTGCTCCAGATATATAACTCTTGGATTAAACAGAGTTCTTGAATTGAAACCTTGAAAACCTGCCTCCGTTAGGTGATCATATGAATAGCTGAGTTTACAATAAGAAGCAAAGTTAGACTAACAGTCGTAGAAAAGCTTCGGGGTTATATGAAAAGAGTTCTTTGTGATGTAGCTTAACAACTGCATTCTGCAATGAAAGAAATACAGTCTTTGGCATCTTCAAAAGCCTGGGAACATAACTTCCAGTTCAGATCCTGCGAAAATATAATCTTTTATTTGAAGACGAAGCATCTAAATGTCCTTCAGATGAAAATTCTACAAATAGCTTCCACGAATTTCATATTTCACGCAAGCATCTACCAGGAAATATAGTGGATGTTAAACAGGAATCAAACACATATCATGTATTTGTTTTGGAAAATGCATTTAGGTAATTTGGAAATTCGAGACAAACATTTAAAAGTCTAGAGTACAATTAGAGCTAAAATGGATTAAACTCAGCAGGTATGCAAATAACTTAAGAGAAAAGGATTAACCTCAGCAGGTAATCTGCACACAGCTCTCCCCAATGTCCTTGGATATATGGTAATCAAGAAAGAGTTGATGATCGTAATGCAGCTGGAGATAACAGAGGTACATGACATTAAGACTTGTAACAAAGATTGAACAAAGTAACCAAGAGTTTTCAAAGTTTTATGAAAATAACCTCTGAAAGAAAAATACAGGATTGAACACGGTTGATAAACCGAAGGGAGTGATATTTTCCTCAATTTGAAGCTAAATCCCTTCCACATTAAACCTATAAGTAAAAATCGCTCATCAGACAAGCTCACAGAATTTTTGGTTCACTGTTTGTATTAGAGATCGAAGATCATGAGAGAAAATGTATAAAACTGATATTTTGAATTCAATCTCGTTAGTTACAAAAGTCAACATTTACATGTATATATAGTAAAAGCTATATCAGACTAAACCTAACTAAACCAGCTTAATTTACATTTATAATTGGTATAAATTAAACCGGCTAATACCCCCTTCCCCTCAAGATGGAGGTGTGTAGATGTTCGAAACACCCATCTTGGAAATCAAATCCCGGAATGGAGCTGGATACAATGCCTTTGTCAGTACATCAGCAGTCTGGTTATGTGTACGTACGTGCATTGTCTTGATCATCCCACTATCAATACGCTCTCGTATGGTGTAGCAGTCTTGATCTACATGTTTACCCCATTCATGATAGACTGAATTCTTGGCAATATGGAGAGAAGCTGCGTTATCACCATAGAGATGAGTTGGTAATGACACAGGAACGTGTAGATCAGCCATAATGCGAATAAGCCATTCTATTTCACATGATGTGTCCGCAAGAGCTCGAAACTCTGCTTCCGCTGTACTTCTTGAGACGGTTCGTTGTTTCTTTGAACGCCAAGTCACCAGGGAACCCCCAAGAAACATAGCATATCTTGTAATAGGCTTTCGTGAATCAGGGCAAGAACCCCAATCTGCATTAGCAAACCCACACAAATCAAATAAACCGTCAACAGCATAGAAAATACCTTGTCCAACAGTTCCTGAGCTTATGAACTGCACAAAAATGAGCCTCTCTCGGCTGTGAGGAATACTGACATAGCTTGATAAGAGCATATGAAATATCAGGCCTATTAATGGCCAAATACATCAATCTTCCCATCAGTCGAAGATAAACTTTAGGCTCACTCAACAGAGCACCCATCTCATGAATAACCTTTGAACCATCTTAGGAGGAATCATCTCCTTTGAAAGACGTATAGTAGGATCCAAAGGAATGGAGGATGGTTTACACCCAAGAAAACAGTGTCATCAAGTAACTCAAGAATATACTTTCTTTGATATACTGATATACCTTTCTCTGAACGCGCTATCTCCAATCCAAGAAAAAACTTTGCTTCTCCAAGGTTACGAAGTTTGAAATGCGATTCCAACTCTCTTATGAAATCCTCAACAGCACCATCATCATTTTTGCTCGCAACTAAGATGTCATCCACATACACAAGTACTGCCAACAGACAACCCTTCTCATTCTTCAAAAATAGCGTATGATCATCATGAGATTTCTTAAAACCCATCTCCATGATAGTGGATGAAAGTTTCAAATACCACTGTCTTGAAACTTGTTTGAGACCATATAGCGATTTGTGAAGTCTGCAGACGGCATTAGGTGGTACAGAAACCCCTGTTAACTCTTCATAACCGGGGGGCAACTTCATATAAATCTCCTCCTCAAGATCTCCATTCAGAAACGTTTCTTGGTAATCAATACCTTCTTCTTGAGTATAGCCTTTCCTAACAAGACGACCCTTCTTTCTCTCTTCAGTACCATCGGCGTTATACTTGATCTTGTAGATCCATTTGCAGCCAACTGGTTTCTTATCCGGAGGTAAAGAACAAACACTCCATGTCTTGGTCCGTTCCTAAGAACCTATTTCCTCTTTCATAACATCACACCACATCTGATCCAAAATTGCTTCTGAAATTTTTTGTGGTTCTTTCGATTTTGTGATAGAGTTGATAAGAGCATGAAAGGGCTTAAAGAGAGCAGAATAGAAAATATATTTGGCCATTGGGTAAGGAGTGGAGTAGAAGAAGACGGTGAAGTAAGATTATAGCAATAAAAATCCTTCAAATTTGATGGTGTTTTCTTGGAACGAAGAAGTCGACTTCCAGAGGGAAGAGAGACCTTAGATGATGACACATCAGTATGAGGATGTGTATCAGAAGATGTCAGTTCAGAAAACACAACATCAGGCACAGCAGGTGAGGAAACATGAGGCAAGAAAGATTTTACATTGTCATGTAGAGACATGGCAACACATAGGGAAAAATATCCTCATGGAAAACTACATGTCGAGAAATAGAAACAGAGTGTGTCTCTATGTCTAATAGCTTGTAACCTTTATACCCAGAGGGATATCCTAGAAAGACACAAGCCTCTGCTCTAGGGTCAAACTTAAGTCTACCCTTTGGTGAAGTACTAGCGTAACAAAGACAAAGTACTAGCGTAACAAAGACAACCAAAAGCTCTTAAAGACTCATACTCAAGTTGTTTACCAGTCACGCGTTCATAAGGAGTTTGTTTTTTAAGACAGGGGATGGCAATCTATTAATAATAAAGACAGCCGTTAAAACACAATCACCCTAGAATTGTAAAGGCACATTAGATTGAAATAGTAATGCTCGAGCAACATTCAAAATGTGTTGATGTTTTCTTTCATCAACAGAGTTTTGTTCGAGAGTTTCAGGACAAGAATGATAAACAATGATACCTTTAACAACATAAAACTCATGGAAACGTAATTCATTTGCATTATCAGACCTAAAAGCTTTAACGTTGACATTATGTTGATTCTCTACCATTAAGACAAAATCAGGAAAGATATGCAATACATCAGATTTATTACGCATGAGAAAAACCTAAGTGGCTCTGCTAAAATCATCAACAATGGTCAAGAAATACTTAGAACCATCAACAATTGACTCAGAAAAGGGACCCCATGTATCAATATGAAGAAGATCAAACGCATTCTTACTCATGTTTTGGCGATATTTAAAAGGAATGTGTTTTTGTTTTGCTAAATGACAAACATGACCAGCATTGGAATGATCTTTATTAATTTTCAAACTTGATAACGGGAGTACATCAGACATAGCAGCAATTTTAGACTGAGATGGATGACCTAAACGTCTATGGCATGTGAGAGAATTAACAACAACAGAAGCAAATGCCATACCTCGAAAAGATAAAGAACAATGACTATTATTGGAATCCAAAACATATAGATTTCCCACTTGACTACCTTGACCAATCATCAATTCATGAGTAAGTTCCTGAATGAAACAATCATTAGCAGTAAAAGATACTTTAGAGTTCAACGTTTTAGTCAAAACACTCACACTCAAAAGGTTAAAACAAAATTCAGGAATGTACAACACATTGAACAAAGTAGGAGAATCAGTCAAACGAATGCAACCAACCCCAGCTATAGTATCTGTGTAACCATTAGGAGGAGTAACAAAGGTTTTATCTCATGGTTTGTAATCAGTAAACATGTTCCTATCATGGCTAACATGGTGAATTGCTCCTAAGTCTATAATCCAAGTTCTAAGAGACACATATTTTTCATTTTCTTTTGATGTAGAAGAGATAAGCATGTCATGATAAGAAGGATTGTAAAGAGATATGAAATTACCGGAAAGACTGCTGTGAGGGATCAAACTCACTCTCTAGTTTACGTTAGGTTTAGATTGGGGAAAAGACAATCGTGGGCTGAATCCTGTTAGAACTTGTGTGAATGAATGCGTTTGTTTATATTGATTTTGATAATAAAAGGGGTTTACAAAGATGATCTTGATGATCTAATCGAAAGAATAATGATTGACAGAGATGGTTACAAATAAAATGTGTCTAAATCTTTAGGTGTTGAAAAGTCCGAAGAAGCTCCTCTTCTCTTCATTTCTTCCTCTTTTAAATAGTCTCAGGTCACGTTTAACCTCTCCTGATTAGTCTCCGAGATTGCCTCCGTAAACTGAGGGATTTGCAACAGCTTCCTTTTGACCGAATCATACGCCTCTATATTCGTATCCTGGGCTG